GAAATGCACAGCATGTTTCAGTCTTATCAAAGTTCCCAAAGAGTATGCATAGCCTAATTATAATTTTTGCCTGGTCTACCTATAATTTCTCATGACGTATATAGTCCATAGTGAACTTCAGCTCACAACAAAGACCTTACCAATCTATATTACTTTCATGCATGCCATTTCTTAATCCATATCCCTTTTATGTACACAGTATTTGGTGGGCCTAAACAAAATACAGGAATGTCTTCCAATTTTAACTGACAAACTGATGAAGAACATATATGAAATGCAATGTTAATAATAATTAACAAATGGAATGAAAATAATATATGTTACATAAAGGTACATAACTTTGTGTAATTTCAGGTTCTTATGGTGAGAAGTATGAAGATGGCCATCTTCTGGGCTGCTGTACTGCAGTGGTCCCCAACGCGGTGCCCGCATTGTTACGGTAAAGAGGTTATACTGAATAATGAAGGCGGTTCAACCACGAACATTATAAAATCAAAGCGCAGATCTCGACTTACTGACGCCCATCTTGACGCTTGTTTGCGAGCAGCAACATCATCCTACACTCCCAAATTTGAAAAACTGACTGACGAAATGCAGTGCCAAACATCACACTAACCTCCCACTTGAGTAATAATAATTGCCTGCTCTATATAGTTATCTTATCATTTTGTTTAACGCTAAATAGCCACTGCGGTTTATGGAGAATCATTACATAACTTAAGAATCTGATGTCATCTTGTTATATAGATGTAGTTTGGCTAGTCTCTGGCTTATTTAAAACGTTTCGTAGTAGTGATTGGTATTCCTGAAGTCACCGGTTTGCAGAGTAAACTAACCCTGAATCGCTCGGTCACTTCAGAGATCAATTTTTATGGATAGGCTACTGAAGATTATGCACCTTTTAGTTTTCTTTTAGCAATTAAATAATTTGTTTTTAAATTAATACATCTTTTTTCTGGGTCAGCAGACATGTTGCAGTTAGTCTGCCTTTCTACCTGTTATAGACTAATCCGACAAAAGTTATATTCCTGACTTAAGTTATTTTATACGTTCGTGTAAAAATGATAATGCGAAAGTTCAACGTGATTATGCTGTATCTTCAGTATTAATGCAACATAGATTCGTCAAGTTTTTGCATGAAAATATGTTAACAGGTCATAATATTGATAATTAATGTTGTATGTGTAGGGACTTAGCCCTCGGAAGATTCACTGCTGTTTTACCTGTCCGTGTATCAGATAAAAGTTCAGGGACATCTTATGTACTTTACTAAACAAGATTCTGTGCAGAATATTGTGTCAAGAAGAAGTTAATTCTTTGCATAGGAAAACATTTGCTGAGGAACTTCGCTGCTGGCATATATTCTGTCTTCGTATTTCTTTCCACGAAAGAAAATTGTCAGTACTCACCACTGGAGGCTAGGAAACCTAAGAAGACGACAATCGTTGTGGTTACAACTGCCATACGCAGTCCTTCCATTTCTCTGCGTCTCTGATTAAGTCCCACTACAATAAAAATGTTTCAGTAAAAAATCACCCAACAGATTCACTAGTCACACTGCGTGTATCCTGTCTTTTCTCTTTGCCGCCCCAGGAAGGCGGTTGGAGGCTACGATAGCCCTTCTGTCTCTTCGCTTTCCAAGTTGTCGCTGGTCACACTCCACTGTTGGTAGACTGTTTTGACGGTGTTGGCCGGTAGCGCCTGGCGCCTCTGCAACACGCAAAGCCAAGGCACCAATGGAGTTAGAGGAGAGGGGCGACCTTATCTGCTATAGTGGGGCGGTTAGGGGATTCCCCCTCTTCTCCTGGCCCTCCGCACCCTTCTCTCACTCTCTCTCGCTCTAAATACAACGATCGATGCCACACGAACTCGACACCGAAATCGACCGAATTCGTCTTTTTATCGTAAAGTCACGTGACAATAATCGTCTCCGTAAGGTACAACCTGTTTTCGAACAAAAATAATATCAACAATAACAGTTAAAACAGGAGTAATGAGATTATTGGTGGAATACAGTGCATATTTTGATCATTAGATAACTTGCTTTATGGCTATTATCAGAGAAAAATAAGATTTAAATTGAGATTAAATGTGTTACCATAGTTACATTTTCTTCTGTTGCACCTAACTCCATGAAGAAGCCTACTTGGGAAGCCACTCATGGACCCATGATCCCAATAGCTGTATACTGAGTCAGAATAATTCACTTAGTTATTGGTCCTTCTGAATGCACAGTTGTGCTGGTCAGGACATTCAAAAGAAGATAGAAAGAAATGTCTGAAAATATCATACTGGTCTCATACCATTATGCCTTTCTTTCAAGGAAAAGCACCGTTGATCCTGGTTGGATAAAAGGCAGGGAAACTGTCCCATATTCTCATTCAGCTTACTATGTCCCTTTATTGACTGAGCTCTCATGGTTCCATAAAATGTGAAAAATTAATAAGAAAACTTTTTTCCCACACAACAGTCATTTTCAGTCATACATGTTACTGGTTAATTTTCTTTTCACTTAATGAATATAAATATATTACAATTAGATTAAAATTCAGTTTGAGATTCTTGAATATTATATTCATTGGAGAAAAACGAATTTTCAGAAATGTATTTTTCAAAACATTGCTGGATTTGTTGGGTGTAAACCAGTTCCAATAATTAAATTAAGTACACAGTTTCCTGATATGTTATGATTGCATTTTATTTATCATTACTACAAATTATATGTGTTACTGATTACATAAATATGTAAAAGATTCATTTTTAATATGATACACTAAAAATAAACTTTTATGGCTTAGTCTACAGCTTTGATTTTAAAAAGGTTATTCTCTAATTGCACAACACTGTAAATGAAAATGCAGCCTCTTGAATGTCGTACTTATAAAAGACAAATTTCTTGCTACTGAAAACTTGCTTATTGGGTGATCAGGCTGTGAAAACTTCAAAGCTAACATATTTATTGGCATATTTTTAACCTCTTAAAACAACTGCTAGCCATTTCCTTACACAGGTTTTGTGTGTTCAATATAAGTAAATACTGACAACAAAATAAGTCAAAGTTTCTTTTATGGTGGAGGTCATAATGGAAAATTAAAGTTTTCTTCAAAGATTTGAAGAATGCAGAAGAAATCTTCTACATGAAACTAATTAAAATTAAATTCATTATTCACTGACTTGTACATGCTACGACGTATGAAACATTTATTAATAAGTGGTAAACATATCAAGAAATACATATAGAAACATTTCAGGCTTCCTGGTTAAAAATAGAAATGTTAATTGTTACTAATTACAAAGTAACTGTAATTAGGGAAGATTTTTCATTGTGTAATTGTGTACATAATTATCAAGCATATGTACTCAAGTCTTTGGGTACAAGTAATTAGTGCTCCAGAAAGAAAACTTAAATCTACCAGCCATTTAACAAAATCTACCGACCCATACTGCAATATCCTTCATACAATTTTTTTACAAAACATGGTTAAATACCTAACCATAAATGTAAATTTAAGGTCAGAGAACAAAAGTAAAACAAAGTTTTTAATTTAATTTCTGTTCTTTACAAATTATAATAAACCAGGGATTTACTTAAGAGTGAAACTGAAAGGTTCAACTCTGCCTTCATCATCCAAAATATCTGGTGTAATATATACATTTTTTTGCCTTAAATTTTTTTGTCAGACATTCTGATTTTAAAGGGATCAGTATTAATATTAACAATACATTTAAATCAATTGTTTTTTAATGAAAGAGTATGAGCATTAAACATGATTTCAGTAGCTTAATTTTGCAAGCAGTTTCTTCATTTAAATGATTTACATAGACCTATAATGCCACTTTTAATAACAAATATCCTTTTGAAACAACAAATCGAGGGTCTGACAAACATCTATGAACTGTACTCTGTGTAGAACTTCACTGGTTTAATACATCTGTTTGGTAATCATACACCATCTGCATTCAGTCACAAAATGCATAAAAGGGAAATGCACAGCATGTTTCAGTCTTATCAAAGTTCCCAAAGAGTATGCATAGCCTAATTATAATTTTTGCCTGGTCTACCTATAATTTCTCATGACGTATATAGTCCATAGTGAACTTCAGCTCACAACAAAGACCTTACCAATCTATATTACTTTCATGCATGCCATTTCTTAATCCATATCCCTTTTATGTACACAGTATTTGGTGGGCCTAAACAAAATACAGGAATGTCTTCCAATTTTAACTGACAAACTGATGAAGAACATATATGAAATGCAATGTTAATAATAATTAACAAATGGAATGAAAATAATATATGTTACATAAAGGTACATAACTTTGTGTAATTTCAGGTTCTTATGGTGAGAAGTATGAAGATGGCCATCTTCTGGGCTGCTGTACTGCAGTGGTCCCCAACGCGGTGCCCGCATTGTTACGGTAAAGAGGTTATACTGAATAATGAAGGCGGTTCAACCACGAACATTATAAAATCAAAGCGCAGATCTCGACTTACTGACGCCCATCTTGACGCTTGTTTGCGAGCAGCAACATCATCCTACACTCCCAAATTTGAAAAACTGACTGACGAAATGCAGTGCCAAACATCACACTAACCTCCCACTTGAGTAATAATAATTGAACTTATAAAAGTATGTCGTGTTGTTTTGTGTATTATTTGGTGTCCATATCTTATTTGTCCAGAGAAAAGAAAATTTGGCTTTGTTAATTGGTTGGTGCCCGCCACAATCTATAAACTCTCAAATGTGCTCGTAGGCACAAAAAGGTTGGGGACCACTGTTGTACTGTGTAGTCTGGTAGGCACTGACTGACTTTTCAGAGGAGTTCACCAAGTTCATCATTATAGCACTCCTCTTTAACACTGGTCAGTATCTACCAGACTGAACAGTGCAACATTCCATAAGATAACCATTTTCAAACTCTTGTGTAACTACACATAAAACATGAAAAAAATTAATTGTTCCATAGCAATGGAACTTCGATACATGACTCACATATAGTTAGTATTTTTTATTTTAATATAATAAATATCACTTTTGTATGAAACAAATAATTATGAAAAAGGAAGCACTACATAGGTTGATACATGTTATAATAAAATGTAGTCTGACAAAATATAAAGTACTGTATGAGCATTAAATTGATGCTATTTTGCACAAACCTAATTTATTAAAATTAAAAGTCATGTTTACCTCCAACCCAAAGATCCAGTCCTTTGTGTTCTTAACTTTGGTAACTACATTCATCACTAATTATTCAAATTATAAACTGGTAATATTGACTTTCACATTGTACATTCAGAAAAATCAGTCAAATAATAGCACCAAATGTAAATGAATTTTCCCTGTGAGTTTTCAAAACTGAAACAATGTTTTAAAATAAAGTCTTATTTTCTTTGCAGGACAAAGATTTTCCAGACCTGCATTCATAGAGTAAATCTTTCAAATTCACACAAGACTAGACTTCCTCATTCACATTTTGTGATGGTGACGACAACGGAAGTTCGCTGGAGGAACCTGATTCTTGGGATGGAACAATTGCAGTATTGAACAACAGGTTGACACTCAGAAGCAATGGGTATGTCAGATCCTTATCAAGTACCAATAGAGTCACCTGAAACAAGTTAATGACCTTTATCTCTTTCAGAATTAGTCTGTGATATTCAAAGGGTCAATGGGGACACATACTGAAAGTCTATGGAAGAATGCTCAAACATAAGCCCCATACTATATTAATGTCAAATTTTGTTGACATCTATTACTTTCAAAGTTACTGTAAATTAAAGTAACAAATCAAAATTATTTTAATGAGAAAACGAAGAGCAGATATCCAGGCAATGATAAAAGAACAAATATTTTAGGGAAATGAGGTGTGAACTGGATTCATCTGGCTCAGAAAAGGGTCTAACAGTAGGCCTTTGTGAACACAAGTTTCATAAAAGCATAAGATTTCTTGAAAATCTGTTCACCATTTAAAGTTTTGTGTGGAAAACGCAGCCTATATAAATCTGCAAGGGTCAACAGAAGTTACCTCAGTCAACCACAGAATCACAAGTAATAATGATGATATACATACCTCCTCATTCTTGAACAAGGTGAGGCACTTTAAACCAGTCGACTGTGTGTGTTTCACTTGTCTTTGTTCATTTAAGGATGCTAATGTCACCCTATAAATTTAAAACAGAGGCAACTATTATAACCATACCCAAGCATTTTGTCTACTTTCTGAAACACAACTGGAGGAACTTTAAATCATCTACCTGTGGACACAAAGCCTATTTGACAAATATTTATTTTAGGTAATAAGTAACACAATGCAATGTAAGGCAAACTTCGCATATCCTTAATCATGGCATTAGATGAAAAATGTCCATTAAGATATCCTACTTATAAAATAATAAAAGGAGGCTACAATATCTAGCCCTTTACAGATGAATGTACAGTAACAGAAACTGAGATGACTTGTCATATGAAGCTTACCTGCACATAATATGTCTCCGAGACTGCATACTCAGCATCACCTCATGGTCCGTGCGATGGTTTCTTTTCACTCGAAGTGTGTGAGTACTGCATGACCAAATGAGGTCGAGTCCCATGTTAAAACCAGTCCACCTCCAGACATGTTCACCTGAATTCACTAACGTTCTCCCACAGCGAACACAGTCATTCAAGAACTCATCATTTTATGCTTGTATTCAATACTATTACATGCAACAAATGCTAGTTTGTTACACAGGAGAAGAAGAAGAAGAAGAAAGAAAAGCCAACTATGCCCACAGTTCCATTTCTAACTTCCTATTCTTTCATCTACCTTATTATTTATTCTCAAGACATGCATTACTTTTGTTTTAAAAACTGTTAGGATAATCCAATCAAAGCAGTTGTGATGGGCTAGGCATGTAGCTTGGATAGAAAATAAATATATGCAACACATTTGCAGGAAGATATTTTGAAATGGATCTAACTGTAAGACCAAGAGAATTGTTCACAAGTTATTTACAGATGCAGTATTAACTATGGTGGTTGTATAATGACAAATAAAGTAGCAGGTTAACATAAATATCTGAGCAAGAAGTGTATGTGACTTACTTTGAGGATATGTTCTATCATTTTCTTGGAATGACGTAAGAAAAACAGGAAAATGCTCAGTCAAGATTTAAAGTGAACACCTCAAATTTCACCATATGAAACACCACTGAGCCAAGCCAACCTGTTTCATATGAGATAAAGATCGAAGGATACTATTAAAATTGATTTCCAGGCTGCAACTCTGTTGAATTGGTGCAGGGCAGTGTTCAATGGCGAGTTTTACTGTTGGTGGGGTTTAATCTATGAGCCTTTTTTCTGCAGTCAGTTGTTCAGTTCTAATTGGAAAGGAAATAAAGGGGCTAACACTCACCCTCTGTCGAGGCCTTGGTCAACTCTCAACATGTGGTACCACTGCTGCGACAGTGGCGGAGACAGCCATTCAGCTGGCATAATTCGATCACACTTTATCATATCGATATCCAGATGGTGGTTCACTAGGTGTTTGAATCTCAAGGCTTGAAATGGACCAGCAAAACTTATGCCTTCATTGCTTACAAGGAAAGGTTCTTCATCTGCAATTAATGGAATTCTTGCTGTTACCATTAGCCAGTTTTTACAAGTATTTGTAAAGAAGATGAAGGTATGGAAGGGATAAAGAAAAGGAAGGATAAGGGATGAAGATATGAAACAATGTTAAACGAAAAATAGCGTAACTGATTATAAATGGTAAGTTGGGAAGGATTTATGAGTTATCCAGTCATCTGCCTGGAAGGAATGAGATTACTATGAAATCCTCATCTATGAGAGTCATTCTTCTACCCAAGATTCAAACTGAGGATCTTCTGATTATAACAGAATACTAATAACTACACCCTGGTATTCAGTTTCACCAGGTTTTCTCTATACAGGATCATTAAATCAACATTTTGACTAAATATAACCACAATTTACTGACTCATATACGACAGCACCGCGACTCTTATTTTACCTTTCCGATTCTGAAAATAGTGCTGTGCTTCCAGAAGGCTCTCCCTCGATGAAGAGTCCCATTCAGGATGGAGTTGTAAGAACACCCAGAACCGGAGCAGCACATAAATAGAAAACTCTGTCTGCATCACAAAGAGGTTTGAGCTGGACACCAGTTTCTCCATCAGATCCACACTGATGAAAGAAAAATTTTACAAAGAGACATAAGGAAGAGAAAACACTGAAAATAAATCTTCCTGCTTAAAAGTGTTTTATGATAGATGGCACACACGTACAATGTTGCCTCTATATATTATTTAGAAGGTTGAAAGTATGTTATATAAAACACATTGATAAACTTCTACCAGGCTACATGGTGCAGAAGACAGCCATCTTTAAGCAGGGATAAAATCTGATACCATTATATCAGACAAGGTCTGAAACTAGACATACTACAAAGAAAGCTGGTGAAGGAAGAGTGATGTGGATATTTGGAATGCATGAATGGTAATTAGATTACTCTGATGAGTAAGTCAGAAATGAAAGCACCAAATAAATTACTACTGGGTAAACCAAAACAATGTGACGATACCTAGTGAGGAAGATATTTAAAAGAGAAAGGAAATATACAGTTACTCATGAGAATCTGCATAATAAATTGTTGACATTTATTGTGGTTATATCAAATAGCTTTGAAATGAAACAATGTACCACAATACAAACTATGTTTTTGTCAAACAAAATACAAGCATCAAACACATGAAGAGCAGAAGCATATTGACACATTACCTGATTTCACGAAGGTATCTGGACTGCTCGTGGAAATGACTTAATAGATTGATAAGCAACCATTTAAATGCTGCCTCCTTCACTTTCTGAACTCCGTACTCACAAGCTGCCACATAATATTTAACTGCCGTCTGAAAACACACATTTAACCTTACGTTTGTTTCATATTTAGGAACAACTTCAAATAAATATTAACAGTGCAAGATCATTTACAGTGTGCGGCTTTAGCTGGTGAGACTAGAACTAAACCTAAATCTTTGCAAAGGGTCAGAAAAATTATTTATTTCTGAAGAATACCAATTAAGTTTATATTCAGCTGATAGTTTAATCAATAGCCTGGTCTTATATCTTGCCTCTTCTCACCTATTGACAAAATCAAAGTGCCTCAAGTGAGTGAGAAAACAGACTCTTCACTTGCTGTACACTGCAGTACTTTTGAATCCATTGAATATTTCCCACGTCACTAATTGCCCTCTCACAAATATATAAGCAACTTATCAGTCACATCTGAGGTTTTCAAAACAATGAAGATGTCAATGTTGTAATTCTGTGTTGTGACATTGTGTGGACTCGTAAGTAGATACATTTCTTCAGTCTTGGGGAAACACTGTTATCTATCTACAAGTCCACATATTATCACAACCCAAATGAACAACAATGACATCTTCACCACCTTGAGAGCCTCACATGTGACTACTAAGTTGCTCATGTATTTAAATGAGGGGACAATTAGTGATGTGGTAAATCTTCAACATTGCTAGCTTAAAGTTCATTCCCCAGTATCATTCTTGAAGGCCTAATAAAGAAACTGGTACCTCAGCATTGACAGTCTCAATCATGATCTCTACACATTGATCAATGATTCCTTCCAGCTGAAATAAAGTTGCTGTTGCAAGGGTTGGTACCACTTCGATTGGTTCCAGCGTGATCTCGTCAAGGTAGAGGGAACCCAGAACTGTGTACAAAGCTGTAAATAGAGAATTATATATTAACCGCTCAATCAACCAACTACCTCCATGGAACATAGTCTTTCTTGAGAAGCAAGTAGTCACTCATCTAATTAATAAATTCCTTTATGGAACTGAAGATTCACTGCCATATTCTCAAAAACCCATTACCAGTCCCTATCCTCAGCCAAATGAATCCAGACAAAAACCTTTCTGTTATAATTTTATGTCTCGCAGTAATGAATATCATGACAAACATACTTACAATCAAGATTGATATTTGGGTCTATGACTTTAATGTGTACAATGTCTTCTTTAGCTTCTCGCCATGATCCAGAAAACATACTGGCAAAGTAAGGACTCTAGAATGAAAACAACAGATGTAATTACATAAGTTTCAAATAGGTGTGGTTTTCATGTTTATTTAATTTCCATTTGAGGAATCTACAGACTATCACTTCCAACAGCAGGAAAAAGATGAGATGCGAGGTTTTCAAAGTAGTGAAAATCTGGATTGTGTTCTTCAGAGTTATGACACAGTATAAGCTTGTATGTAACTATCTATAAGACTGCAATCTATCATAAACAAGATGACAATTCAAAATATATAACGTGGCCCAAGTGGAATTTAATTTTTCTGACCCCAAAACCTTCCAACAACAGACTAATATATACTTCTGACTCAGGGCTAGCTACGCAGGAACATAAACTGTAATTTACCTGGCAAAGGTATACTTTATGTAATCGCCATGGCTTTCCCAAAGCTATAACAGTAACATCACTGTTATTGCCCTCCTTGAACAAAGCCCGATAGATGTACTGGGCAGTAGACAGAAGCTTTTTCCTAGAATATAAAATAAGTTGTATGACTATGGGGGATTTATATATTAATTTCTGCAAGGACAAGTATTATTTTAAATGTGAAACTTACTTTTTTGGTGTATGTAAGGTCTTTTCCAATATATGATCAGAATCAATATCTTGATCATCACTTTCTTCACGTCTCCGTTTCCTACCTACGAGAGCTCTGACATTTGAAGCAACATTATGTGGGTTGAAACTGTCTGTCAGAAATTTACTTATTCTCTCGCCCATATCGAAAAGTCATATATTTCTAAAACAAGAAATACTATATATATAAATGTTACATCCCCATCTTCGACATTAAACATAAGAACTTAAAACGTCCAAACATATGCATAACCTCTTTTTTGCCAATCGCAACAGCCATACGTAACCAAAAAACAGCTGTGCTGATAAACAAAATTTTCACAACCCTCAGTCGGTTCCATTACAGATTAACCTACCACAGAGGCATCTGCTGGAGAAAGTTCTGCGGTGCAGGAAGGAAGCCTTTTGTGGTCGTTATATAATAAAAAGAAAGTTAAAGTTGTAGGAGTGATGACGGTATTTTGACCAATTTAAGACATAGGTGTGGCTTTCATGCACTGAAGTGCTAAAGACGATTTTACCTTATGATCACAGAACCACTGCACGTGACTTTGATGCGACAACACGTGAAGAAGCAAATGGGATTCTAACCTAAACCCCTAAATCTCGTATTATTTTGTTTCGAAAATGTTACGAGTATGGACTCCGAATATCTCCATGAGTTTGCAGAGAAAATACTTTCGGAGTGTGAGTTATTTCGAACCCCAGAAGAAGTGTAAACAGTATTCAGACGCAAGTTACTTAGAAGTCCTTCCAAGATTGGGCATTTGGTGCCATCTTTCAAGAATACAATCACCGATTAGAAATCCCGACCCATTACATAATAAAAATAGTATTATTTGCTGTTCTACGAGAAATACATCGTACTCAAATTCACTTTACAATAATGTACAGTATAGACAATTGACATTTACTTCAAATTACAATATAAAAAGCATACTGTCAGCCTCAAGTGTTCACCCACATTTTCAGATTAGGCACATTTCAGGGCAGTCTGGGGAAGAAACTGTAGGGATATGGACTCGTGTGTTCTTCTGGTTGTCAGGAAGCACACCGGTTGGCTATGCTCAAGACTTTCTGTTATTTCTGCATAATTCAACTGGCCTTCCATGGTGGACAACTGTCATTCTGGCAACTGTTTTTCTCCGCACTGCTGTAACACTTCCTTTCGCAGTGTATCAGGTTTGTTTATCAGATAAAGTTATAACAAGATGAAAAAGCTGAAGTCTACCTCTTACTCCTCTTTACTTGTGGCTCAACCAAATGAATAATTCTGTACTCCATAATACATATTTAATGACACTTTGACTACTGCAGATGTTGTGTAGTATTAAATGATTAGGCGATTCTGATTTGGGAAATATTTGGAAAGAAGCAGTCTTGTCATATTTTAAGGTACTCTCCCAGCATTAGCCTCAGGAACAGAGGAAATCAAAGAGAATCTTGGTCAGCATAGCCACTCTCTAGGTTTGGATTTGAACTCATGACCTCTCAAATAGGAAGCAGAAATGATAGCTGCCACACCATGTTAGGTGATACAACTCCACAGTGTGGAGATTCTCATGGCAGTGAAGATGTCAACTTTGGTCTTCTGGGTTGTGATATTATATGTACCTGAAGGTAGATAATGATAGTTCAGAGAAACATGCTGACTTAACATTCAGCCCTGAAGTCATTCTCTTTTTCAGAAATGTTATTATGTAATTACAAGCCTACAAGAAGAACATAAATATTAAAAGTTTGATCTGCTAAACTTGTAACTGTGTGCCCATGTAATGAAATCAACTTGGCTGTACATTTATGCAAAGCTGTTTACATTGTGTACATTGTCTCACAGCTTCCTATCTTATGAGTCTGTAGACTTGACTACTCTCTGCGTACCTTCCGTGATAATTTTACTCTGTGTATATATACTTGTGTTCCTGTAATGTAATTTTCATACATGAATTGTGTGAGTTCTGATTGAAAATTTCTGTTTCATTTTAGAATTACATTCTTGCTAAGGTTGAAAACCTGCATCTTCTTGAGATGCCTGAAATTGTGAAGGAGCTGAAGAAAGAAACTGCAATTGCAATGAAGAAATTCAATTGGACGGAGAAGCAAGCACGGACAATATATAATCGATCTGTAAGTTTAATGGATTTGCTATTTGGCCAGACTGTCTATTGCCTACATTAAATTACTGTGAAACAATACTGTGTGAGACAGTTTGCAAATAGAGGTGGGGAAACTTAAAAAAAACTTGTTTCACTTTGATCTCACTGATTCTATGTAGATGGAGCAAGAATTCATCTTGCATCCAAAGGGTGGGAAACTTGCCCTTTGTATAGTCATATGTCATGGCAAGATTGTACTAAAATCAAGTGGAAACCACTCTAAATGTAAAGGGTGGTCAAAAGGATACTGTAAACAGTTAAACAGCCAGTGTAATTAGTGAACATATGTAGTGTGACAGGTCAATTTACTGGTGGCAGTGCGCATTCACAGGTTCCCCTTGTACGACTTCTCAGTGTGTTATTATCTTGCTATTTCAGCTACGGAAACAGTGGAATAATCTCATAATCCGAGACAACTGCCATCCATTGAAAGCTTCTATTCTTCTGTGGGTACAGTTTCCCATGTGGATTTTCCTGTCGGTTGCATTGAGAAATTTGGTTTACATGCTGCCTCACAATGATGGATGTAAGTTTTTATCATTGTGTTTTACAGTGTAATTTATGTCTCTATAAATGTCTTCACATCATGATTCATTCTTGGTATATTCTCTCCAGATTATGTGTTTGTAGACTACTTTTAAAGCCCTTTTTCATGCTGCCTAAATTGTTGATTTGTGTCAGATTTTGTAATTTTTTTCTTATATGGATCATAACCTACATTTTACTCATTTTTTGGGGGGATTATAAGACTGCTTATTTGAAGATTCATATTGAATGATCCTCTGCTGCAGGAGGAGAGAGCACAGTTTAATGAAATAATAACGTGTCTTATTGCAGCTGCATTGGTCACTTACATGGAACTGAGTGTTGGAGGCTTTGGTTGGATTCCAAATCTGCTTGTTCCTGATGAATCTCTTATCCTGCCAGTTGCCCTGGGGCTTATCAATCTTGCCATAGTTGAGGTATCAGCTAATTATCATGTTATAACAAGTACTGTTAGAACACAAAGCACATTATTTAATGTCCTTTAGAAATATTATCTCATTAAGGGAGGATGTATGTGTTAGCAGTATCTTATGTCGTGATTGACCATGAAAGCTTAAACTCATTCAAAGTTTGTCTTCTTAATGTATATTTTGGTATGATTATAATAAGCAGCTGGATTAATCTGGCTCATGATAGGGATCAGTGACAGGCTCTTGTAAACATGGTAATAAACCTTTAGATTCTACAAAGGCAAGGAATTTCCTGACAATCTGAGAAATTTCTGCTCTGTAGACTATTAAGAACTTGACATGAAAAGTAATAGCCATTATCCTCCATGTATCTTTTGTTAATATTGATCCTGGTTTTGGGTGCTTGCACCATGTGAAACTGGGCTTTGTTGCCGATATTTTAGAGAAACATAATGCCTCCATCATCAGGGATGGAGTGAGGAGTATTATGTAAGTAGAACCATGTGTCTCCTGACAATATATACATGATCTCTGATGCTGGAGGTAGTATGTTTTTTTTCCTGAAATGTCAGCAACACAGCTCAGTTCCACTCGGTGCAAGGACACACAAGCAGGATGAACTTTGTTTAATGAACACAAATTTCTGTGAACATTTTCATACCAGTATTCTAATAAAATATCTGTTCTAGCTTCAAGTCATGTCCAAAATAACGACAACGAGCAAACTGCAGAAGTATCTGACACATTTCTTTCGATTTCTCAGCATTGCCATGATACCAATTGCAGCTTCTGTTCCCTCGGTAAGTATTATATTTTTGTAATTTAGAATAATATTTACATCAAAAATATAATTGGTATATCATAACATTATTATATTTCAGTGAAGTCTTCTTAGGCAATCAGCCATGTCAGGTGGTTGCTGATGTCCAGGAAGACTTCATTGAATTTACTTGGTTTGAAAGCTGTAGAACATACATTATTCATTTTATTAATTAATTAAAATTAAGGCATAAACTTTGCCGTTAGTATATTTTAAAAGTGTGCAGGTTTCTGTGCTAGCAGAACTGATACACTGAAATAGATCACAGAATTATATGCTTGCTACGTTACATACTATGCCACATAAAGGTGTTAATTACGTGTACTGTGTTGTAAACAAACATGTTCAGGTGTGCCAGTAATAATTAGATGTGTAGACCCTTATTTGTACAGCATAATGTGAGGCAGACTGTGGTACCACTTGGAAGTTCTGCTGCTGTTTTACCAGTGTATGACTCAGGAAGGGTTTAGAACCACCGGTTTAAATGACCACCGAAAGATTTAGTAAAGTTTGTGTTTGGTTATTATTGTAATCAAACAACTTGTGTATGATTTGTTTTTATGTGTATAGTGCTTGAACTTGTACTGGGTGACTTCAAGCATGTATGGACTTGTGCAGAACTTGATTCTTCTTTCTCCTCGCGTGAAAAGACTTTGCTGTATCCCAGAGACACCCAGTCAGCTCAGCAGTCCTTATAAACACATAGCCTCTGAGATCAGACATCGAGCTAATTGGATCCCAGCTTGGTGGAAATCTCAAACTAAGAATTAGGTAAGGATTGTTGGACATGGGTTTAATGTTTACTTACTAACTAACTGTACTAAATGTACAAATCCAAACTGATAGAGAGAATTCAAATGTTGAACTGTATATTGCATGAATAAAAATTTTGTAGGAGTAAAATATTTAATGAACATGAAAATAGTGCCCCTTGAATTAGAAATGAATTGTAGAATATCATATCATCCTTCCGCTGATACAATGCATTTTTTGCAGATGGTTTCAGAAACTGAAGACAGGAGGAAGCATAGTGGCTTTACAGGTTTATACTTAGGTTGTAATGCTGATATTTGTAGATTTTTCTGCAGTCTCTTTACATCATGTATAAAGAGCCATGTTTCTTCACATGCTAGCATGTAATGACTCAGCAGCACTGTTCACAACTTGGTACAGCTTGGAGAACATAGCTATATTTTGCAGAATCTTATGGGAAATATTACATTTAAAATAGGCAATTTTTTACATATAATCAACAGATGTCCTGCTCTTCCAAGAAAATATTTCTGTATGAGTGCAAGAGCTGCAGTGCTGCAAAGTTTGAACTCATAATAATGCAAGTTCTATGGAAAGAGATTGCTAGCATGCAATGCATTATGTTGGACACCACAACAAAAGGGTTAAGCAAATACCAGGTTAATGAAAATGTCACATTTACAAGTATTCATACCCCAGAACTAAACAGAATTGAGTTATTATAACAAATATGACATTTTATGATGCACCTAAAATCACTTAATGGATTAAACAGCTACAATCCACTGATTGACAAACACTTTGTAAGTGACCATGAAATAAGGAAATCATACCTTGTTTCATTTAGTAGAACATGATATATTACTATTATAGTCTTATATCTAAAAGGTTCACATTTTGTATACTTTTTATGCTTTATTTAATGATGCTGTCAGACTATATGGCATTCAGTGGTAGGATGATTAATAAATTGTAAACTGGAGAAAGATATTGAAGGAAGTGGCCATGGCCTAATTTAAAGTAGTATCCAAACCTTTACATCAGTAGACTGAGGAAGACCATGAAGTACTTCACTAAGGATAGCTAGTCTCTGGGCCAGTGCTTTGAACCTGGAACCTCCTGAATACAAAGTAGGTGTGCTAACCACTCAGTTATATTACTTGATTATATTTTATGTAACTGTATTAAAATAGAAAATACTATTACCAACTTGCAGTATTTAAGTGCGTCTTCTTTTGTTAAAGCAGGTGGTACACTGGACTTTAAAGATTTAGTTTACTGTCTTGTAAGAAAATTCTCAGTACTGTGTTCTTGTGCTGAATATTTCAGTAGTTGTTTTACAAGTTCATATATGACTTCTTAATTCAGAGAACCCATTCAAGGAAATTATTCCTTATTGATACTTTGGTACTGTGCCAAATATTTTGCGTGGACTTCAGCCAGTGAAGAGATAATAAAGATATAAAGGTCACGTCCTTTAGCCCTGTTATTGTAGCTCTACTTTGAACTCATTTGTTACGTATGGTGTTAGTTTCTTTATTTTGTTCCAGTTCTGTCTGCATGTAGGTGAAACGGTCGAAGTTATTTTGAATCCTCTGGTGATGGATTTTGTTATTCAGCAAAGAGGATAACTTTAAATAGAGAACAGTTAATGACTGCTGTCTAACATTTATTGAATAAGTGGAGCTTAGACAAATATAAACATGGTGATTAGAATACTAGGGGTATTGAAGGTTTTTCTGCTGAATGTACTGATATGTGTTGCTGTGAGTACATGCATGTAGTTTCTCTGAATAATATAGAAAAGGGACAGTTGTGTTTAGTATTAATTGAATAATCATGGTATATGATACAGTATTAGGTCAAAAGGAAGTATTGAAATAAATAATTAGAACTGTTGTACATGATTTCTATGAGAAATTTATATTTATTCATCTGTTCAAGAAATCTGCTTTTATGCAATCAGAATGTTTATTACCATTAATATGAGAGCCCACTAATATATCTGAACTTGAACCAGTTCAGTTCAGATCCTATTTTCCTACAAAGGAAGTAGATTTCAAATGTTGTCCGTAAGGTCGCTTGTATGAACATTACAGTCTTAAAAGAATTTAAAACTTATAAATCAGGAGGTGTTGTGACCCATTTTGTATGATTATCTCTTGAAGGGTCTCCCCAAATTAGTTGAATATGATCAGTGACACCAAAGTATAATATGACTTAAGACATTAGCATAGATGCACATAAAAGCAGAGAACTGTAATTAATTTCAGGAAAGGAGTCATCACTGTCGAACAGTAATAAAATATTGTTTAAATAAATATTTTTCATGCTGATTTTGGTCTGTTTACCTGACTAGCTCATTCCCATTTGGAATATGCCATATTACCCCTTGAAGGGTAAGTGTACCCATGTTAAGAATGATTGTGCCTGAGGGGGTGTGTTTCTTTTCAGATTTACAGCCCAGAAGATGAAGTGACAAAACCACCAAAACGTTGGGTTGGTTTACCATGGCCTGTGCGTGTAGACAAGAATAGTCGCCATGCATCTGGTTTAATTATTGGTGAGGAATATATTCCACCTACCTTGGACTACAGTAGCAAAAATATCATGGGTCGAATGTTTTCAAGTGATGATGGAATTGAACACATGAAACTAACTCCAGGACAGTTGATTACTAGTGAGCCAACCAGACAGCATAGTAACTGGGATATTGTGCCAGATCCAAGTAGTGATGGTGGTTTCAGATTAGTTGAGTCATCATCAGGAAACATAAATCCAGCACACATCACCCAGCAAGGATCAAGTTCAAGTCTTGTGTATGAGAATGGGAATGCTTATGAAGAAAATGTTAAAGGAAATAATCATGAAGAATCATCAGATATTCCTGGAGCAGGAGTGACTAGTGGTGCTGTTACTTCAGGTGTAGCCTTGGCACATGGCTTACAGTGGCCTTCAAAAAATGTTGTGGGTAGTGGAATGTTGAGTGCTGCAGTTGTTGGTACTGGTCTTCTTGTTGGTAGTGAATATCATAGACCTTCAGCAAGTGTTTTGGGCAAGGGGGTGAACAGTGGTGGTAGTGGTTCTTCAACCAAGGACAATCAACCTTCACCTCACATGAACTGGGATGTTTTCCCAAGCAGTCAGCTGCAGACTCATTCTCAGCTTGTTTCTGAAGGGAGTGGTAGTTTTGGAACTCAGAAACAAAAAATACAATCATCCAAAATTGGTTGGGAACTTCCTTCAGCTCACCAGTCGCAGTCTGATTTTTTTCCAGCTGCGCACTGGCATGTTGCTTCAATTTCTGTAGACCCCATTCAGAAGTTGCCATCAGTTGCTACTGGGGTATTCTCTGCAGCTGGCCAGTATCTGTCGTCTCCATCCATGGGTTCAACAGTAGAGAAAGCTGTGATGTCAGGCTCAACTTAGTAAGTAGTAAATATGAATAAAGCATTCTGTTGTATTTTAGGAATATTCTTTATATCTTAAATTTGTAGATCTTTCAGAATTCTGATGGACATTAACTAGTTAATTTTTAATTGGCTAAATTTAAAGTTATTGGCCCTGTAATGTGTAGTTTCCATGATTGTAATGAAAACTTATTAGGTGATTTTTTATAGAGGACAGAAATGCATGAACCAGTATTTTTCACAAATGTAATATAATTTCAATTGCAGTACTTAATTGGACACTTTAAAGTTTTGTCTTTATTTTTATATATTACTTTATTTGTCCAGTCAGGGTCCTGCAAGCACCGTAGTTTTTAACTGTTTAACCCCCAGTTTGCAACAGTTTGTAAAATGATAGTTGTAACTCCTTGTAACTTTTTTATTTGAAGAAAATCTTCTATTAGCATATTTTCTTGGTATATTTTTTAGTGTTATCATTTTATATATATCTTGATGTTTTTAGTAGTGCTTTGGAAAGTGGATGGATTGATGAGTTTTTTAAGTGAATAATATGCATTTTCTCAATGTTTTCTTGTATGATTGTTATCATTATGATCTTTATTTATGTTTTAATTGTTCTAGATAATTAAATTTTTCAGCGTTTTCAAATGGACATTACATTCTGGGGTTGATTACAGTGATGCTACCAAGTGCCCTCATGGAGCTACTGGCCAGTTTGTGTATCGTCCTGACTGTAGACAGTTTCTGAACTGCTGGAAAGGACGGGGCCTTGTCCAGTTCTGTGCTCCAGGGACTCTCTTCAACCCTTACTCTCTGGAGTGTGACTTCCCAAACAAGGTTAAATGTTTGCAGTTTTCACTAGATGAAGAAAGTGCGAACAACATAATTATGGGCAATTCGGGTATGGAATAAACTGCTTTCATCATGCATAGCTTCTTGAAATTAAGATTTCAAGAATGCAATCTTAGATTTTGCTTGAAAAATTATGCCAAGTCCTAGTGGGCAAATTGGAAATTCATCTTCTATCCCACAGTTTTTAAAATAAGTTAGGAAATTTATGTGTAGCATAACAGTGCTGCTGTGGTTGATAAAATTCGTATATTGACTTTTGTGAATTGCATCAATGACATTACAACTTTCTGGGATTAAGGAATATGTGTGAGTAGGGTGTCTGGCACTTGTATTGTTGAGTGATGGTATCGTCACAGAGGATTGTGACTGGCTGGGAATCCCTGGATGTAGATTCCCAACATTAGGATTACCCACCCAGTCATATCCACACACTGAAATGTATGTATGTCTTTGCATAAAATGTCCATTATTGTCTGATTTTAACCAAAATTTGAATGTGTAAACAATTTCTAATAAAACTTCCCGTCAAATTTCATGGAAATATGTTTAGCCGTTCTCTATGTGTGAGTCTACATAGCATTACAATCCAGAACAACAATATTAACATATTAATATTCCTCCCATTGAATGGTATATTACCTGTGCGATTGAAGCGTAAACTAATAACCATAATGCTCCTTCCAGACGAGAGACATATTGAGAGGGACAGTCGATTGGTGGAGTCTGCAGTATCCACAAGGCACCCTAAAACACAGACACCATCACCTGTGCCAGTGAACATAAGAAAGGCAGACTGCCCTATGGAGGGAGGAACAGGGCTTGCTCCCCATCCCACAGACTGCAGTAAGTTCCTGAACTGCTGGATGGGCACAGGTCATACCCAGCAGTGTGGACCAGGGACCTTGTTCAACCCTCAGACTTTACAGTGCGACTTTCCATACAGAGTGAACTGCATTGTATCAACTTCAGGTTTGAAGGGTGAGTTATTTCAGATGGAGCCAAATTTGTATTTTTATGCGTAGCATAACTGTGCTGTTGTGATTGTCAAAATTTATACATTGACTTTTGTGAATTGCATCAATTACATTACAACTTTCTGGGATTAAGGACTGTGTATGAGTAGGGTGTCTGGCACTTGTATTGTTGAGTGATGGTATCGTCACAGAGGATTGTGACTGGCTGGGAATCCCTGGATGTAGATTCCCAACATTAGGATTACCCACCCAGTCATATCCACACACTGAAATGTATGTATGTCTTTGCATAAAATGTCCATTATTGTCTGATTTTAACCAAAATTTGAATGTGTAAACAATTTCTAATAAAACTTCCCGTCAAATTTCATGGAAATATGTTTAGCCGTTCTCTATGTGTGAGTCTACATAGCATTACAATCCAGAACAACAATATTAACATATTAATATTCCTCCCATTGAATGATATATTACCTGTGCAGTTGAAGCGTAAACTAATAACCATAATGCTCCTTCCAGACGAGAGACATATTGAGAGGGACAGTCGATTGGTGGAGTCTGCAGTATCCACAAGGCACCCTAAAACACAGACACCATCACCTGTGCCAGTGAACATAAGAAAGGCAGACTGCCCTATGGAGGGAGGAACAGGGCTTGCCCCCCATCCCACAGACTGCAGTAAGTTCCTGAGCTGCTGGAAGGGCACGGGTCATACCCAGCAGTGTGGACCAGGGACCTTGTTCAACCCTCAGACTTTACAATGCGACTTTCCATACAGCGTGAACTGCATTGTATCACCTTCAGGTTTGAAGGGTGAGTTATTTCAGATGGAGCCAAATTTGAATTTTTATGTATCTTTATCCTTTGGAGCTGAAGCTCCTACCGAAAATAAAACACAATGCCTTCAGATTATTAACTTCTGAAATAGTAAATAATTTAAAGTCTTTATTGAAACTGTAATTTAGCATCTGACTAGCTGTGAAGCTCATAGTCTTTAAAATATATTAAACATTTGTTGTTCACATAAAGGAGTAAGATTTTTCCAAATTAAATGAACAACAGAATGACATATGAGGTAAGTAATATAATAATGTAAAGTATATAACTGAATCTGTTGCAGAGAGTGCCCCCAGAAAGTTTTCACCAAACAAGCCATATCAACCCCCACAGCAACTAAAACCTACCATTCAACCAACAAGACCTCCAACCATGACTTCACCCACAACTAGAACTACTACTACTACTGCTGCTACTACTCCTGCTAATACAACCCCTGCCCCATTGAAACCAGCCCACAATGTTTCATTGCTTGTGAATCCAAGCGGTCAAGTTTTAAGGCTTCGAGGAGGGCCAGGACCATGGGAAGGCTATGTTGAAGTTCAGGGTCCAAGTCCTGGATGGGGTCTTGTTTGTGATAAGAGAAATTCCTGGAGCATTGTAGAGGCTACAGTTGTGTGTCAACAGCTGGGATATGAAAGGTAAGGAACATTGGTTCAGGGCCAGTGCACCTGCAGTTATGTTATTAGGTAACTGCATATTTCAAGGCCAGTTCTGTACTCCATTAACCCATATAAAATGAAAACAATATTATAAGAAGAATGTACACACTTTTATTACATGATTTCAACCCTAGAGCTAATTTTACTTCCTCACTCCTCCCTTTCTTTCATTTTTTCTTCCTTCCTTTATACATTTTCCTATTTTTTATTTATCTATGCCTTGTGGTAAGGATTAAATTCTTAAATTTATTTAGATTAGCTTGAACTTCAAAGGGTTAATGATACTTCCATTTATAGCGTTGAATGATTCACAAATAATGAATTTGAAATAATATGGAAGGAAGCAGTCATAGCCTAATTTAAGGTATACTATCCTGGCATTTGCCTGCAGGGACTGAGGAAAACCGTGAAATATGTCAGTCAATATAGCCAGTTTGTAGGTCAGTATTTGAAGCCAGGACTTTCTGAGT